TTGTTGACCAGATGTTAAACTCGATTCATATCCTATCATATCGTACATAAGTTTGATCAGTGGCGTGCAAAGAGCAGGAGCCATCCATTTCAGGGAAATCCAATCAAAGAGTAAAATTAGAATTAAGTTTTTTTTGTTTTTTTTTAAATTATCGCTGTTACTTTGGTGTATAAACTGCCCTACTTAATTTGAATAAAAAGTCTATTTCATCTGTTTTTACATGAAAAGTCTTCTGTTCTCTTATTTCTGAGTACTAGGTCCTATACTTGAGTCCTTAGGGCATACAGTCAAGAGATTAGTCCCGGGCATCACAAACCTCAGCACCTCACAACAATGCTCTTATATAGCAATAACAAATACACTTAGATCTACCATACTGAAAATTTGAAAACACTTTCTAAAATGTCATACACAGTGAAAGTTAAATATTTGTTTTATTAGAATCCACTGACAGGAATTAGAAACAATAAGTCAAAGTAAAATACTATTTAATGTTAAGTATCAATATCAGATGCTGCTGTTGTTTAATTAATTGAATCAGTGGGATTATATTCCCAAAACCATTGTTATAATTGACCTTAGTAACTACTGATAAGGCCGTGTTGAATTGATTCCTTGTTTCTCCTGCCACCACTCTGGCAATCATGTGCGGTAGTGCGGTAAACACAACACAAAGTGGGTTTCAAAACACAAAGTGGTCTGGCATAATACCTATATAGTCTGAGGGTTGTGTACCATTTTTAATAATATTATAAATAATCTAGTTATATTATTGGTTAGAATAAAAACACAGATAATATTTATTTAATTAAATAAATTTAATAACAAACTAAAATTTGGTAACAAGTGGCTTCTTTGTTTAACTTTTTAAAAAATGAAATAACCATATTTTGATATAAATTTTCCGTATTCTTGTGTTACAATACAATGGAAACATTCCAGTTAGACGAAATTTGATTCGCTTGTTGAGTTATAGATGGTTTCGACAATATCATCGAACGTGAAAGTGCTGGGAATACACACCAAAGTCGAGTCGAGATATGTAATTTATTGATGTTCAAGGAAATAATAGTGGTCCCGTTCGTTCGTTAATTTATTGATGTTCAAGGAAATAATAGTGGTCCTGTTCGTTCATTCGTTCGTTAAACTCCAGAAACGAACGAACGAACGGGACCACTATTATTTCCTTGAACATCAATAAATTAGGCCGACCGGTGTACGCGAATTTACCTATGTCCCGGCATAGCTCACCATTTTGTAAGGCGTGCGTTATTTATTACACAAGATATGATTGGGTAATACTTGAATAATAATGACATGTGTTATAATTTTAGCCAATGAAAAAATTGATTATTCAGGTTTCCGGTTGAATATTAGCGACTGTCTTACAGTTTATAATATGCTTTCTCATTAGCCGAAATGACTGCTACACGCGCCATTTTGGGGAATTCATCCAATCATTTACAGTGTAACTTATTAAATAGTATGCGGGCCCCTACTGTGTATTATCAACCGGATCCATTCACTTGATTTGATATTTGTTTATTCGGTGCAATGCCTATTTTCTGTCTTGTCCGCAGGTTTATCTTGTAGATTTTTGTTTTGCGTATAGTGCGGCCCCCTGCACTTACCTATTTAGTTTGTAACGAGGAATAAACAACGAGAATTGACTTCTGATGTTTGGTAGAATTTTTTTTAGATGTTATTATTAACGTAATTTTTTGAATATTTTTTTTTGTGTTAAAAACGTAAGCGCACGATTTTCGGGGTCCTCGGCCTAACCGTGATGTTTTGTAATGGACTATACAGCTTAACATTATATTCTGTTTGACAGCATTAGCCACATTTGGATTAGCTCTCTATTTATTTGAAATTCTAAATATTACATTTTAATCATTTGGAAATATTAGGCCATGAAATATTACTTGAAAAAAATTAGAGCTGATTACCCTAGTCTGTGTTGTTTCTTATTAAAAAAATTAATACAGTCTCTGCAGGCCTCCAGCAGATAATTCTAAGAAATATCCACAGCAGATGACAAAATAGTAATTACAAGTCGTAAAACAAAATACATTTTCATATAATTGTCTAACTTTAATGGCCCATCAAAAAAAGTTTTAGAAAACTTTGCAAGAATTTCTTGACATCACAACCTGTCTATAACTTATATGAAAAGTTATAATGTATAGCCTTTGTAAATATAAGATAAGCGATGATAAATGGAACAAGGCAACACCATTATAATGAAAATGACTCTTTAAATTAAATCTCTTTACAATGTCTCTTTAATTGTTGTAATTAATGTAGGTTACGGGATTAAAAAAAAATAAATATAGATCTCCCATAGGCAGGGTATAAAATATGGCATTTGCATGTTATCAAAGTACTATGGTTATAATAATCCCCTTAGACAACTAATTATTATCTGACTGATTTAATAAAATATATATATTGGCACAATATGATAAATAACTAAATGCTGACTTCAAAATATATGGTTGAATAAATGCTTAAAAAATCAGAGAGAGATTGGGTTTAACATCCACGAGATAGAAATTAGGTCATTTCAGGACTAAGATATAATTCCCTTGCGTGAAGATGTCCTTAGCAGTACAACGAAACTAGCTAGGGGACCCTGAGAATACCCATGATGAGGTTGGACAGGCAACCCAACTGATTGTCACATACAAATGGGGAATCGAATGACTATATACCTTGACTTAATGACATGATTTAAAACGCATGCGTTATTCAGCCACTCAACTCGTAAAAAAAAAAAAACAGAGACGTGATGTTTACAGCTTATATTTTAAACTGCTACTCCCAAGACTGCTTCAAATAAGTATATGATTCTTAAATAATTCACACCTATTTATGTGTGACATGGGAGCAAGTTGAAATACAAACATTTATGTACTCAGTTATTTTGTTAAATTTAGGGAGCCACGGTGGATAATTGGGTAAGACACTGACTCGCTAGCCCGAAGGTCGCTAGATCCCTGCATTGGCCGAGAAAGTACATCAGGATTTTCCGACGTTGCTTCCCCTTGTCAGTGGTGCAAGAAGGAGGGCCTGACGAGGACAGCTGTCTAGTCGTTTGGATGGTACAAAAAAAACTATTGGCATGCACGTAAAAGATCCCTTGACAGTTGGAATTCGATATTAGAGTAGACCATAGTGCCGCTGCCCAGGCAAAATTTCACTCATAGCTCACTGCATGGCGTATGCCCGTCTTTATTAGCCCAGTCGGAGCAGAACAGAAGGTGGTTAAACTGCATTTCATTTTCATTTGTTAAATTTATAACCAGAATATGTATTGTGATTTCAATGATACTTTGATACCTGTATCGTGATATGTATTTCATATCGTGACTACAGGCACCATATACCCAGCACTAATTATATACAGCTATATATAGTCAAATCCTATTAAGTATTTTTCATCTCTGATATCCCAGATTAATCTGTTTTGGTGTCCCAGGTTATGGCAGTATAAGCTTTATATATTTACATATGTTAGCATGAAAAAAAAACACTCTAAATTAAGTTAAAGCACATGACATTAATGGCATGCAATTACCTACTACACTTGTAACAGTGAATTCACTGCAGTGCTTAAAGAGGTTTGGCACAGTTTTGCCCTCAATTGACTATACCATAAAACCATGGATGTTCAGATTAGATTTTATGCAAATTTGAAACGGATCTTTCAATGCATCGAACAGATTGGATGGTCGTTTTAAGATGTCTGCCATTACAAAGTCCAGTGATTAGCTTGATAATGTTGGAAAAATATTCTTCAAAACTAAATATATTAGTAGCTGTTTTCCATAATTACCGGTATGTGCTATATACTCTTATCAAATTATGATTAATAAATGCAAGAACTGAAAGATTATTATAACTTCAGTGTTTTTTCCACATGGTGCATACATTAGCCGGCGTAGATGTGGTTGGCCTCGTGGAACTATTTATTAAATAATCGCAGATTGCCCATATCTTTGTTATTTCTCAACAAATCTTCGTCAGGTTTTCATTTTTGGATTCTTTGGACGAATCCCATAGGGGCTCTGACTGACGTTTTTATTAAATTCAGAAGTTCGCTCTATTAGGTTTAGCATCAAAGATTTGTGAAAGGTTTCTTCAGCACTTTTTTGACATTCAAGAGGACATATCTGCGTTAAAGGTATCGTATCAAGTTGAAACTTGGTAGCAATAAGGAACACATCGATGCCTTCAAAATGGCATATTAAAATATTTTGTGACGGCTTATGGAATCTTCCCGAAATTACAGAGGCCTTCCAATTTTTCCCGAACGTGAATATTTCTCTCCATTTTAAAAATAGACTAAAAATGACATATGGTGGAGTTATCCCCAGATATAATCTTTCATTTTCAGAGACCTTTTTCATAACATTTTTAACTGTTTGGCTGGTATATTAAATATATTCTTTAATTTTCAGAGGCCTTGCTCATAAATATTTTCAACCATTTGGCTGCTATATATTGGAATTTACAAAAAAAAACTTCAAATCATTATTCAGCTATTCAGCCGTCATTTTGATCCTGATTTTATAGTTTTGAACCTACTCCAAATGGCAACAGTCTTCGAGAGCCTATTTTTGAATTTTGATTTTATTTACTTCTGCTTTCACTTTTGACCAACTATCTGGTGACCTAGCCGTTCAATGACCCTTGACCTTTGCATACATGATGACCCTGACATCTACTAACAACTAATATCAAAAAGTTTGGTCTTGAAGTATAACTTCTGGTTTTATTAAGAGTTCAAAATGACAGATTTTTTCACTTTAACAGGTATTGGATGTTACTATATACTCAATAGTTCATGGTGTAACCTGGCCTGACGTGACATGACGTGACATTATGGACAGTGTATTATATACAGTAGAGCTGCTGTCTGCTCCAGACATGGCGAATGTAGCCGAAACACATCAGTATTGCGACACGATTCTAGTTTAATTTTATTTCCTTTTCAGAGAACAAAGCAAAAGAATCCTGATTATTGTACAATTTAAAACAATGTACAGGTATGGGTAAAAATTAAAATAAAAAAGATTATATTCATGCATTTAGACATGATATTGTTTTAGAAGACTTTCGAGACATATGATCTTTAAAAAACAAAAACATTGATTTCTTGTTACATTCTCTGTGTTATTATAAAGATATATATATTTGCCTTTGGTCTTTCAATTAGAGCAAGATCATTTTTGCACAGTTTATGCCATATTGGAGGTTTTGTTCATATTTCATGTTCGAAATGTCAAAGATAAACATTGCTTTTTTGTGCAAAAACAGAGAATTAGGAAAGTTCAATGATAAAAGTCACCAAAAATCAATAATCTTGTGTTTGCATTTGGGAAAAGGATGGGAAATAAAAACACATTTTATATTCTTACAGATTGTTCATATTTTTTTGGCATAAAAACTTATTTATTTCCAGACAACCTGACGAACATTTGCCCAAAACAGCTTTTAAAAATGCTTTCCAACTCATATATCAAACTATGTATTTGAATTTATTTTTAGAGGAACAATTTTAAATAAATATAACCGATGATGTGCTAAAATTTTAATAGAAGTTAATATTTGTGTTGATCAATCTAATTAAAACTAGAAGTTTTTTGTGTATATCGATCAAATTAAAGCTATATGTTGTTTTTTGTATATCAATCTTATTAAAACTAGATGTTGTTTTTTGTATATATCAACCTAATTAAAGCTAGACGTTGTTTTTTTGTATATATCAATCTTATTAAAACTAGATGTTGTTTTTTTTTTGTGTATATCAATCTTATTAAAACTAGATTTTGGTTTTTGTGTAAATCGATCTAATTAAAACTAGATGTTATTTGTTGTGTATCCTAAGTTGTATTATTATGGTCCGGGCAAAATTTTCCTCATAGCACACTGTATGGCTTATGCCCGTCTTCATTATCCCAGGTTAGGAGCAGAACAGTAGGACGTTAAACTCCATTTCATTTCATTTCATGTATTATTATGAATAATGAAACCTAGTTTTAATTTTTGTGTAGACATATTGATCTAATTAAAACACCCTTGCACATTCTACGTCCGATGATAAAGATCTCAAACTTTAATGAATGCAGCAGGACTTGGCTTCAACCATTGATTCAGGAATTCTTAATATATGGGGGTGGCTGACTAGCCTTAAATATATAAATAAATAAAACCAGCTAATATTTAAACAATAAACTACATGAATTATTGCTCCAGATAGATTGGGGTTAATTGTTTTACGCACATTTAGAAACAGATAACAAGAAAATAACATTAGCCTGGTTTGTTTTGTTGGACAAAATTTGACATTTACATGCATGTGGTTATTTCCTTTGAGCAGGAAACATCCCTGTGAAGTGTGAATTCTAATCAACCGTCACTGCGTGTTTGTGTATAACGAATGAAGATTTGATTCATTACCACAAATTCACAACATAGGTTGTAAGAACGCAGCAGGCAGTGAAAGTTAATGGCTGTGCAAATCTTTATAACAAGCAATAATTGTCATCCTTTGAATAATTATAGCACATGTAAAGGTTTATTAAAGGAGTCAAAGTGAAAAGGGGTTTAACAAAAGCTACTTTACTGCACCAATTAACAGGCTAATGAAGACAGGCATAATGAGGGGAATTTTGTCCACTAAAACCTGATCTTATATTTATTTCTGACTGTCAGGGGATCTAGAACATACTTTCAATGATATACATGAGACCTTTTGTTTGTCCCATCTGAAGGACAAGGCACTCAGTCCTGCACCACTGACTAGGGGAAAATCAGGAATTTTCTTTGCCAAATTCTTGGATTGAATAAGTGATCTCCTGGTTGGTAAGCTAGCTAGCTCCATATTCACAAAGCTACAATGTATTCACATGAAACAGGTAGAGGACATCAGATTCCATGGCGCTACAGTTCAATTTCTGAATTTGGAAAGCTGTGATTACCTGACATTAAATATCTTGAAACTACAAAAATATATAGATATATTTGGAAAGTTGAAATTTGTCATGAATGCAACTAATCTAAAGTTACTAACAAAGGAAAGTTCACTTATAAGATATTTTTGCCTATCACTTGGGAAAAATATTAAGGATAAGATTATTTGTTACCAGGAGGGGCTAGTAGTCTAACAAGTGCTCTGTAAATCATAATGTCTGATACAAGTCAAATGGCATGGTTTCAATCGCAGGTTTGTACATGACAAGGTGTAGGCTGGCAAGCCTAACTTTGTAGGTTTTCTCCAGGTCCTTCTGTTTCCATCCACAGAATAATTGAAATAACATGTACCACATAGAAATCTCGAATTGACTTTGTGTGCAGCTCCACTCTCTCTCACTCTCCAAATAAATATCTTTGGAGATACATCAACATAAATGAAAACTTTATTCTGGGTGCTCTAAAATTTACTATTGCCACCATTATAGGACACACATTCAAAAATGGATGGATGGACAAGCGCCACAGTGTTACCATGCTCTGTGTGAATAATGTATATGCTAAAATATCAGTTGTTAAAACTCAGTAGTTGACAGATTATAAATTATCAATTTGTTTAATTTATGGTGGGCTTATTGCAAAATTTGAATCTATTACTTCAGATAAATATAATTTTAAGGGGTGGAATAGATGCACATGCTAAACTATCAATGGTGAAAACTTAGTGGTTGACAGGTTGTAATAATTAAACCACTATACACAACAAAGTCTTGTCACGTTTGTTGCTCAGCTATCATTTTTCTTTTGGATTGTTTAATTTATGGTGGGCATATTGCAAAATATGAATCTATTACTTCATATAATAATAAATTTATGGAGTGGGACAGATGGCCTAATTTGGCTGGAATGAATCAAATTTGAAAATATTGTTTGATTTTTGTATAATCCTCTGCTTCTACCTGGGGTTTACAGGTCTGATGTCTTAACTCCCACATATGGATAACATGAGCATAACAATAAAAAAAAACGCAGGAGAATCCAGGAAATTTTATATTAATTACATAACATGGTTTTTATTTATCATATACTATAAATTTACTTATTCATAATCACAGACAATGGTTTAATCCCGCAGAGACCAATCTGTTTGAATAGCAATTAGTAATTGAATTAGACCTTAATGTCACATTAATTAGTTTTAATCATTGCCATAATGTTTGTTCAGTAATTTAGATCACCTCCAAGAAAATTAGTATGTCTGATTCTTCATTATTTTTAATTATATAGTGTTCATTATTAATTAGTATTCATTCTTAATTAGGTTTTTGTTTTTGTGTTCCATCATTTATTTAAATTCTATATTAATATGAATACAGGCCACTTTATGTTTGGGCGCCACTTATTCAATTAAAGAAGGTGTAGGTGATCTTAAAAAAACAAATGCCAATTATTTATATCCAACACAATGTAGTTTTCTAGCCGATGCCAAATTGTATATAAAATATCAAAACTATTATAACACGATAGCCATTCTAATTACATGTACTTTTTATTTGAACACCCCCAATTCTTTTTTATACGCCCACATTGAAATGCGGTCTTATATTGTCGTCGCCCCGTTCGTCTGTCTGTGCTGCATCCACAATTGCTTGTGGATGCTCTAGAGGCTAAAGTTGATATCCGATTGACCTTAAATTTATACACAGTTTTTAAAGTCATGAGACGAAGAAGCCTATTAATTTTCACCAATTTCTGATAATTACTGCCAGAGTTATGGCCCTTGATCTCTGAAAAATCTTGTGGATGCTCTAGATGCTAAAGTTAATATCCGATTGACTTTAACTTTATAAACAGTGTTTAAGGTCATCAGACGAAGAATCCTATGGATTTTCAATGATTTCCGATAATTACTGCCATAGTTATGGCCCGTGATCACTTTGAAAAATCTTGTGGACGCTGTCAAAGCTAAACTTGATATGCAAGTGACTTTAAATTTATACGCATTTACGCCTATATATATATAATTGTTTCGATTGACTTTAGATTGATACAAAAAGTTAAAGGTCTTGAGACGAACTAAGTGTATTGATTTTCAATGATTTTTGATAACTTGAACAGCTAAATCCATGATATTAAATGTTTTGTATACTAAATGTTATAATGGGCCAGACAAATTCTAATGATTTTCTGATAATTACTTAATGAGTTGTTACTCTTAATCAGATTTTAGTATATTATGAATATTTCATTACCGACAAAAGGAAAAATATGTGACAACTCTAGTTGACTGCCCGGACAATTTAGCTGCTGTGGGCGTATGTTTTTCGTTGTCTGGCAACCTATCTTTCTTCCCTTTAAAAACAAAATTAAAGTCACAGATGGCCATATGTATTTTGCTTACACTATCTAATTTGTCACTGCTAAATCATTCTAAAATATATTCAAATTCATTATTTAACATTTAATTATTAAAGGCATCAAAATTAAATATCAACGATAGATAATATCCTGACCTGGATTAAAAGGTGGCACTGGCAGGTTTTGAGCATATCTTATGCTGAATATTGAATTATTCAATTATTCTATCTTTGTAAATACAGAATTTAGCCATTCTTGGACTAATATTTATTTTAGGGATTCAATTTTTCACAATATTGTAGCTTGCATGGGATTAATATCCCCTCAAATGACAATCAGATACTTTAAGTGTAAATGCTTAAATGTATCAGTCACTGATTGTCTAAATTCAGTATTTTTGACCCAAATGCTGTGTAAAACTTAACTGATTTATTGTACTTTCACCATCTGTTGTCCCTAACATATTCTAAGTAACCCTTTCACTAACTCATTAAAAACATGGTTTGAGCTAAACCAAAGTCTAGTCAATTCAACATGCTAAATATTTAATTAACACTAAATAGAAATCACACATCGTGTAATGGGGGGAAGTGATTGATTTTTGTAACCTTTTCATTCGCTAAACTGTAAGTAACTTAGCCATGTTAGCAATGAAATTAACTATTTTAGATCCCCTAGGCTATAGATATTAGCTCATGTATGCCAAACATCTTAATTAAACTATTCACAATTAAGGGAACTTGAGTAATCAGAGGAAACTATGAAAGCCCCCCCCTCTAGTTATATCCATTCAGTGGTGATGAAAGACAGTTTATTAGCAATTGGAAGCATGTTACATGTGTATCTATATGGAGAGGAAATTAACAATAGCCATTGAGGAATGAAAGTAGCTCGTGTTATCGGCTGGAGTGGAACGATGATGCTTCTCCCTTTCATAGAAAATTATAGTATATAGCGAGCATTGGTTGAAGCAGAAGTTGAAACGATTCTATCTTTTAATATCAGACTCCCTTCTTCCATGTAATCATAGGAGGAAGTTGGCATCAGTTCTGATTTCAGTGTTAAATTGGATTTATTCATGCAGTCACTATTACCGTGATGTGGATTATCAGGTTTTACATATAAAAGCGTGGTAAGGATTTTAGATTACCTTTTACATGCATGAAGGAATTTTTCATCATTAATTTTCTTCCTGTAAAGCTTTTAATTATTAATCATTTATATTTTTTGAATTTCATATCCTAAGTACATTAAAGTCAGTTTGTTCATATTTTATCACTAAAGCTGAAGTTAAAAACAATATTCAATAAATTTGATTTTTAATTTTGTATTTTGTAATGTTTTATAATTCTGTATTTTGTAATGTTTTTTAATTTTGTAAGCTTGTAATTATTAATCTTAAATGTTTGTTTAATCTTATATCTGGGGTCTATACATATGTACATCAAAGTCAGTTTGTTCATATTACCCTGTAAAACTGAAGTTAAAAACAATTTTCAATAACTTTAACATTTAATTTTGCATTTTGCAATTAAAAAAATTGATAGGGATATTTCTTATATTGTGCTCTCAAGATTTATCAGTAGTAGGATGTCCCTCAATAAAAAAAAAGTCTCCAAATATATTGATAAGCCACCGTATCTATATTGCAAGCTGCACCTTACATGTTTATAGTTTTCCCGTGTTGTCATTACTACATGTCCAATCTTTGCATGCAGTTAAAACATATTATGGCCATCTATAAATATATTACAAATCTCCACATTTCTCAAATACAACGTTTGAAAACTCTAATTCTTGAATTGGTTGGGTACCAAAATATAGTTTATTTACAGTATGGTACATTAAAGAGAGGTACCAGAGCTGAACTTTTAAAATTGCTAAATTAATATGCATATTCTGAAATTTGGTATGATTAATAATGACAACACATTATTTTGGATTACATAGACTTATTGTTGCAAATTCAACTTTTATTAAAGGTCATTTCTGGTTGTTTGGGCCCCTCTTCCTAGGCTTCAATTAAACAATATTTATACTGAAATTAGTTTTTCGGTTTATTTATTTGGGGATCTTAAATTGTTCATATTTTCATAATGAATTTTATTATTTCTTACAAATGTCTTATATAATGTTAGTAGTTAAAACCATAAATACAATTAAAACCAGTACAATTTGTATATGTTTGTTGTCAAATGATTATAATTATAATAGATTTTGACTTTACTCTGAACATCTGATTATCCAGATAATTGAAACTCGTTAAAATTATGAATCTACATAAAACAGTTCTTTTGAACTATGCGTCCCACTGTGAAGTAAATATTTTTGAATTTTTTTGCTGTTTAAATTAGAATACCTATGAAATTTGAGGAGAATCAGAACGTATTTCTTTATATTTTATTTATGAACACATGCCATTTGGGTACCCATCATCCAGGGCCAAGGATGAAATAGATCATCAAAAGAATATAATTTTCTTGAAATACTTAGTCCTGTTCTGGGCAATTAAGTGTCCATTTACTATATCACAATCCTATCCATGATTTGATAGCTTCCATTTGTTGATATGATATGAAATGAAATGGATTTAACATCCTACTACTCAACACCAAACAGATCAATGGAAATGACTATACACTATGCAGATATACTATGAGTGAAATTTTGCACAGTGTTTTCACCTACTCTTAACATCAAATTGCAACTAACAAAGTTTCTAGTTTATATCAACAACAATGGCATTTTTAAAACTTATAGGAAATAAACATTTTGATACAGATCAACTGATTTGCAATTTAATATTTAGAACTGTGAATATGTTGAAATTCATTAATACAAACCACCAAAGTCAAGATCACCATGACTTTCAATCTGATTGAACTTTAGTGTGCACTTGATTCCCACAATTTAGATTATTTCTGATGTGCCCTTTGATTAACCATGCCAATAGATAACAAGACATTGTAAAGGCACTTGTTAGATTCTGCTATACGCTGTTTAAATTAACCAAATCAGTGTTTGTTTGACTGAAATGGAGTGCAGATAAATGTATGACTTTCCGCTTAATTTGAAATATGGCTGAGTATTTCAGAAGTTAACTACTGAATTACATGCATCATTTGTAAATATCTACTTGATAATAGTTTTGTTATGAAGGAAGAAAGATAATGTGTAATTTCTATTTAAAGTGGTTTTTGCAGTTATTACAGCTTTTGATGTCTGCGGGGTCCAGAAGTGGTGTTGCGGAAAAGAATTAAACTGTTTGGCTTTATATTCTATTGGTATTTTTATTTTAGGAAGGCCAGGAAATGATGTATTTTTCCATAGTATTTATGTAATTCTCAGCTGCTTGCTTATCATACAGCCCCAAAAATGTTAATTATTAGCCTATAGTATACTCTTTTAGTTTATTATATCTTTTACTTTTTATTATTATTACTGAGTATGTCATCATTTTACCTGAGAAATGTCATGGTTATGGGCACTTTTTTTGTAGCTGAAAGTAAAGTGTTCTAAGTCAAGCCATGGTGATATCCACAAGCTGAACTTATATGTATCAATACCCACTTCTAATCAGGACACATTTAAAAATCAGTTGGACTATATATTAATAATGACAAAAAATAAAAAATGATTAACGTAACTTTTAAATCTTTAATAATAAATCCCTTAAAGATACATTATGGGAGATTCGATAACGAGTTGGCAGTTCTCACTATAATAGTTAAAAACTAGATAATGTAAAGGTAATTTGCTGAAAATTTCATTCAAATTGATCCACTATTAACCCAGAACTAAGCGACTGAAATTTCCCCTAGCCTCGGTCATCATTACTAAAGTCAGTACAATAAACAGCATAGTCTCGATTATCCATTTAATCGTTGAATCGAGAAGGAAAGTTATGCAGTAAATCGGCTCACAATCCACAAAAGATCGCAGGCTAGCGCTGCCATCTAGAGTTGATTATGGCCTGGATAGGCTAATTAATGTCTAATTAATAATTTAGATAACATTTCAGGCCTAAAGAAAGACCTGCAATAGACAGATTTAGCTCTTGCATAATGTACGTTTAAAAGCCTTCTTGGGCATGTAATAATTGCGACTTGAAGATGCTATTGAATTTTTGGGGCTGAATATTTATTAATACTAAATAATATTTTATTAGATGTTGTAACATACATGGCATATTAATGGATTTTTACATGAAAATGGGTTGAATTTCGAGATTATAATGTGAATTGTTGTTTGTTTTGAAATCAGGGCACTAAAATAGACAGGAAGCCATTCAAATTGGAATTTTCTTTCTAGTATATGGTTTTGTGTGGATATAACTGAATTTTCTGACAGTTTTATATATTGTACAAATTACGTTGTTATTGAGTTTTCAGATCAATGAACTATGTTTAAATAGAGATTTCACAAAGATTCTTTGGACACCATTACTATACAAAAGTACAATTTATATTTATTATCTATGTCAACTCCGCAAATGAGAAGTGGTATCAGGTGTTTTAACCCTTGAAATGAATTAGATATTTATCATGACTTTGTGAAAGACAGCAGCTGATTTCCAACTTCAAAGGCATCTTTTATATTTTTAGGTCACAATCATTTCTTTCTAGCCTTCCCCCTTCATTAGCCCACAATGGTGCCGAAAAGTAAGATGTTAAAATCCATTTCATTCATATCCATTTTGTCTAGGGCATACCACTTTGCACGTGGGAATAAGACCTTTAAAAGCCCGTTAAAAATCCATTAGTGACCTGTTTCCTTACCCTCTGATTACTTATAGTTGAACATAAAGATCGGAACATTCAGACACTGACAGATACTATATTCACGTTTTTTAGGCATAACTGAAGCTTGACCCATCTACAAACTCGTAAACTGTAAACCATTTTCTTTGAAACTTCTATGATCAATGATATTAAAAACCAAGGTAATCCTACCAGAAATTAGCCTGAAAATGTTTCTCTGGGGAGATGGGAAATGTTCGCTACAACCTGAAATTTAAGCTACCCTAGCTTTCAGTGCTGGCACTAAAGAAGGGATAACAAATTAACATAAATGTGTCAAGTCAGTTTAATGGAATATTGCCCCAGGGATAATTATACCTCCTATCATATTGCTTATGAAGATGAGCCTATAATCAACTTCTGCCTTTAAGGATTCAGCCATGGTGGTTGTAGTTTCATTATAGCGGAGATTAAATATTAAAAGTGCAATGCGGTGTTGCTGACAAGGAAAGTGTGTATATAATCTTTTGGTTCGAGTAGAACATATTAAAGAAGAGTAGGCAGGTATGAAGCTGTGGTGGAAAAAACTTTCTCTTAGGTCTTGCACAAGAAATACAAATTAAATATGTTAAGTCTCCAAACAACAAGAATATTTTGTGTTGACAAGAGTTTATATCCTATTCCTTCCCAGTTCACATTTCCTTTGACAGATCTAGATGATTATGGATGGAAGCATTCCTGACCAAGGATGATTCTCCATCCCTGGCATCTCAGATAATATAACTTGAGATTAAACTTGGCATCACATAACCTCTTGTATCAGTCTTGTCTTGTTGAGTCGTTGATAATCCCTCCACCCATCTTACTCCATTAAAAGTTTCTGTTGATAATAAACCTCTCTTGATTTGTTTCATCAAAGGAGGTTAATCAGCAGTGTTTTGCAACTAGAGGACTGAAGAGGGAGAGAGAAAGAGAAGAGACAAGTACTTCAACTTGATTTTATGAAACTCAAAATAATAAAAAGAGTGGCAGGAAAAATTCCTAGCGGTGAGGTTAACCCTTTGGAAGGATGCATGGGGGATTTTACTGGGAGAGTATTTCCAGGTGGAACATTATATTTTCCATGTCATGTTTTGAACAATGTTTGCTATGACAGTTACATATCTTTATAAATTACAAGTTACCTCTTTAAGCAAGGGTTGCTACTTGTGTAATCAATAACTATATTTGGTTAGGAAATTCAATACTTATCCTGTTATTATTAAACCATTATATTACATGGCAGTATTTTATGTGATTTTAATGTTGGTGTGCTGTTTTATTTGGTTTTTTAAGTTTCACCGAAATTGCTGCTCATATTTAATGGTGATGTCTAAACTGTAAATCCTGAATG